AACTTTAAAACTATTGATTGTAGAATTTATCAAACATGAGGCATTAAATGAAGAAACCAAGTGATTCACATTGTGATTATGTGGGGTTGATGAATTTTGCATAATGGCCAATATTACTTTATGTTGTTCTTGTGTAAGGGTGTGATTTGAGCCATCAACTTGATGTTCAGTGAAGAGTATGACTTGAAATCTTCCTCTTGATCATCCATGTTATCAGAATGAATGTTGACAACATTTATGTTAGGGAAATCATATTTCTTGAAGCACCTATCAACTGTATAACTAAGTTTGTTGTAGTAAGTGTAGAAATAAGGATTACATCTTTACCACGACCACTACTACAAAAAGAACATACAACGACCCCACCATTACTATGGTCCTTCGAAGGACCGTAGTGATCTCTAAATTCAGGCGCCTATATATTTTTTTTATTTGTTGAATAACTGTTGTTAATATATTACCATACGTTTTTAAAAACAATCGTAGTGATATCAGTTGAAGTTTCATGAGTTTGATTCTCAACGCCTTCTAATTCGTGTTTTCTTCAATATTTTAGCACCGCCTTTAATTTTTATTTTAAAAAAGAAAGTTATATTACCACGGTCCTTTAAACTAACCGCTGTGATATATTTTTTAATTTTTATTTAAAAATTTAATTACTTAAAACCTGACACATTTTTTTTATTAAATATCATTAATGTAAATCTTATATTACCACGGTTATCTAAAAACACCATTATAATTTTTTTTTCATTATTTTAAAAAAAAATTAATTGCATAAAACCTAGATTTTTTTATATAAAATTTTATCATATATCACAACAGTTTTGATAAACAACTATGGTGATATTATTTAATCACTTTAAATAAAGGTAGCTAACTTGTCTGTTTAGTTCCATATTTTCATTTCCATCAAGAAATAACCCCTGACGAAACAACACGATTTCAACCCTAACCAAACAACAGATTTTCAACCCTAACCAAACAAAACCAGTTTCAACCCTAATGAAACGTACACCAACATCTTCAAATTTGAAGAAACAACAAAATTTTCAACCAAGTATGTGCTTTCATACCGTTGAGGAAAGAGCCGACACAGTGTTCTTTATTCTTGACAAGTCTTTGGTTTAGCTGTTGAGGAGGAACTCAAAGATTCTGACAACATTTTTTTTACTTATTCATCACGTTTCCAGTACTTAAACATTTTCCCAATGCGTCTATAACACCATAATTTTCCATTTTTGTTTATGTATTTGTTGTTGTCAATTCGATTGTGTTGATGATGGCACTGATGCTTATTTATTTGTTGTTGTTGATGCCATTGTTGTTGATGATGCCATTGTTGTTGTTAATGCCATTATTGTTGATGATTCCATATTGTTGCTTATGTATTTATTGTTGCTTATGTCATTGTGTTTATGATGCCACTGTTGTTTCTAATGTCATTGTGTTGGTGATGCCACTGTTGTTGATGATGCCATTATGTTGGTGATGCTATTGTTGATGATGTTTATGTCTTGATGTTGATAGTTTTATGTCTTGATAGATGGCCTCTTCTTCATCTAGTATCAACAAAGCTACGTATACAAATGAAACCATGACAA